CAAGTATATAAATCTTGATCTCCGCAACATCAGCTCCAAACTAGTTACTAGTTAGTGTAACTCGTCTCTTGCTTTCCTACTTTGTTGGGGAAAGGGTTCTTTCTGCACCTCTGCCATGCTGGCAAGCCAACCGCGAGGAGGCTTTGGTCGTGCCGTCATGATCTGCGCCTGCCCAGCCGGCGAGTCCGAGCTGGTGGCTTTGGGTTTCGTCTCAGGTCATGACATGGATGGGCCGCAAGCCACACTGGCCACCAAAGCTGGAGCCTGTCGCAATGTGGGATTGCGCAGCTAGCCATCCGTAAGTAGCCCAATACTTTGGCATTGTTTTCAGAAAGTTGTGTGACCGTGAACATCCCTCCAAAACACAGCCACGGGAATGCAGTCTCTATGCAGTGTGTTCTTTGATGAGGACGGGTGTAACTGGCTTGCACCTTTTGGCGGCAGGGTCCCAGCTCCCAAACTCTCTTTTTGCAAAGGGGCTAGCTAGTGTTCTTGGTCTGCATTTCCTTCGCAAAAGTCGTTGCTGGTGCTCCTTCTTTGACAGAAGGTCCTATGAATTTTGGCTTGGCCCCAAGCTTAGGTAGCTTGAAACATTCAAACAATCTCACACTGGTGTTATGAGAGCTTGGACCCTGACCAGTTGGATACAGTCTGTTGCTGCCTATTCCAGCTTTTCACAGCTGTGACTCTAAAGGCCTCAGTGTTCTGGTGACACACACACACACACACTGACTGACAAACTGACAGGATGCGGCGCATGCTGCGAGGGCACCTTGGATCTCCTAGCGCTGCATCTCGATGAGGAGATGCCGCTCGGCACCCAAACGAGCTGCGAGCCGCGGAAGCAGCTGCTGCAGCCTGGCCTGATGTGGCGATTACTTGAAAGCAGCTATCCCCCGTCTATGGAGTTGTGAACTTCGCGAAATCTTGTGCAATGTCCCTGAGTCTTGCTGGTATCAACGGGCATCACCGAGCGAAACGCCTGACGTGCCCGCCAACTCCGTTGGAGCTGCAAGGCGGCCATGTTGCAGATCTGCGAGGCAAAAAGGACTCGCCATATTTCGCGGGTCTCATTGGGCCCCCAGGTCGACCAATTCTTAAAACTATTCTGGAATGTCTGTTAAAGTCAAGAAGTTCCATGGGTGCGTTTAAAAAAGCGTGTACATGTTACACATTGTTACACTATATATGGCCAAGACATGTGGGTGCACGCATCTGACCTGTTCGTAATTACTGACAGCATGGTGAAATGCAGCAACGCAAAACCCCGAAGAGTACAATACTGAGCCCAGTAAAACAATTTAACATCCCCACAAGTGACACAAACCAATTGTATTTGCAAAACATGTCAGCAAAGCAAATCTGAGGCCCACCTGTTGCCTCTCGTCTTCGATCTCCTTGGGCAAACGCACGTGTCCCAAACAGGCGTTCCCTCCATTCACGTGGTCCAGATGCAGTCTGGCAGCAATCCGGACACGCTTTGTGTGTGCACGCACTCGTTGCATCAGCTCGACCTGGCTTTCAAGGCTCACGGACCAAGTGCCATGTTCAACTTCAACCAAATCCTGTTCCTGAAGCATGTCCATGTAGAAATAGAATAATGCAAGAAAGATCAATCCATGCACGATGTACGACAGTTCAATAATACTATAAATCCCAGCTCATTGCTTTCTACAGGCATTGCACTTTTTAGAAATGCCTCACAAAGGACATGATTCAAAAGAGTTTACACAGACTAAACTCAGGGTAGTTGCATTGCTCAACGCGAATCACATAACATGATTGGCTGGAATGGTCAGCCTCCCTGCCGAGCCTCTTCCCTGTCATCCCTGCAACAAAGCTAATGATAGGCGTTCAGTCCAAACAGTTCTATATAATTACTCTGTGCAGTTACACTCACCAACCAGAATTGAGGCGAGGTGCAGCATCTTGCGACGGATGTCATCGGTGATGCGGCGTCCAGTTCTTCTGGAGTACGCCTCGCAGTCAAGAATTTGTCCCGGCGTATCACGACAATCACACGATTTTCTTGGCGTGTCCAACTTTCAGGCCTCCCAATCAAAAACCCGGCCAGTCCGCAAGTAAATGCCCTTGACATATCGCGACAGGACCTGTCCAAAGCAAGAAAGGCCGGCATCAATGCTTGCCGTGCACCAGTTTGGAGGCAACAGCAGGCCTCCATGGCAGCTTGCTTCCTTGCTTCCTCAACCTTCCGAAGCACTGCTGGAAAAAAGCAAAGTGACAAGAATTCAAGAATTCAGAATCAGGCGTCTGCCTTGTGCCTGAAAAACATGCGGATTTTGAGCGTGCGCAGGGAAGCGCAAAGCAACAGCCTGCCATTGCTCAAAGGCACCATTCGGTCAAGACCAAGGGACGATCTACATGTGGACTTGTTCCACGCCCCTCTAAACCTTTATGATCTCTCCCATGCTAATTATGCTGGAAGAACAGTGCCAAGCGATAGAAGCTGCATCACACTCCGTGATGCTGCGCCTGTTGTCTGATCTGTTCGACTCTGCTCGTCGCACTTGCAGCATCTCTCGCGCGTTGTAGCACTGCAGGAAGCCCCTCAAGGGACAAAAGCATAACAAATCATGCTTCACAACAGCATGCCCTGCAAAATGCAACTAATTCCAACATTCGGAAAGGAGCGGGAAGAAACGTCCGACCACCGAAAACCCATGGCCTCAAGCAGTCACAGGCTTTCTGAGCAGACCTCTCCAACCTGAAGGGCTTGGCGTGATATTTCCAAAAATACCTTGCAACTAGCATCCCCATGACCATCGCAACCAGCCTTCTCCTTCGCATTTCCTGTCGCCCCTTTACACCACGCCACATCGAAGCGATCTTCAAGCTTGCGCGGTTGTAGAGCCTGATATGCCGATGCATTGGAGACAAGGATGTGGCAACATGATACAGTGACACATGGCATGGCAATCTCGACATGTTATCCAAAACCATAGCCAGTATCCAAATAAACGAAGAATCACGCGGCAAACCTGAAACACCTTACAAACCTATCACCCAAGCCAAGCCACAAATCGGGTGCAAACTGGGACCTTTCCCTGGGCACGCGAGAGCAGGGAAAGGAGACACCAAGAGCGTCAAAGAGCTTCTGTGTCATTCTTGGAAACCGTTGGGCCATCGGCAAACAAACTACATATGTAAATGTATATGTTAGCCATGTCACTTGAAGGTCTCCAGTACAGATTGCCAAAGCTCCAGCGCATCATCAAAGACCTTCTGCTGCTGTCGCGCCACCTGTCTTGGCACACTCTTAGTTGTGCTCGCGGTGCAAAGTATACACACACACATATATATATATATATATTGTATAATAGATCATACGTGATTTTTTGCCGGTCCAAGTCCTTGGGGCTGTTGACAATGTGTTTTTTTTTTTTTTTTAAAATGAACTGATGTGAAACTCCACACATCTCCACACCAAAGACTGCCAAAGAGCTAGCTGTTGTTGTTCGGCAAAGCGACGACAAACCTGAGACAATGGCGGGCAACATGTAGATTCTGGTTGTCAACCCTGCCAAACTGATTATCACCAGTGTCTGCACAAGAGCATGACTCCGGTTGGACAATCAACGTGGCAGGCCAGGTGGCACAGAAAATCCTCTTGATGGCCCTCTGCTTCTGCACCTGGACGCTGCGGAATCTTGGCAAGAGCGGCTCTTGGCCAAAGGACCAAAATGACTAAACCGAAAGATCTGTACTCGGCCTCCTTAACCTGGCTGCGGTGAAAGCCTCCACGAGCTCGTGCCTTGGAAGAAAGCAGAATGGTTGTGAGCCCTTTGGAGTCAGTTGTGCCTGAATGATCGTGGCCGCATGTTCTTCTCGTTGCTTTGCCAGCTTCTTCCGCAAAAATGCTGCCTGGGATCGATGTTCGAAGGAACGCGGAACGCGGCCTGTGAGGTTCAGGCCTTGAGCGCCAGCCGCACCAAAGCCGGAGGCAGCAAGGCAAGCTTTCGCCTGGGGATCCACGGTTTTCAGCATGGAGAGTGTCCAGTATTGTTTGCCGAGTGGCTCATGCAGCTGGCACAAGAACCTCAAGTCGAAGCATCATCAAAAGGCAAAACTTGCTTTGCATCAAGCCAGCATCTTCGAAGCTGCAAACATTATGGATACAAAATAATGCAAACCAAACATATCCAAACATGCATGTGACAAAACCTCCCCATCTCTTCGATCTTCGCACCTCTGTGCCTCGATCTTCTTCTGCAGGCCAAGCAAGTGTCCCTGCAAGCGCTCCAAGCATGCTCTTCGGTTCCGCCGCTTGGCCAAAGCCACCTGAAGTTTCTCCGCTTGAAGCCCGGAGTTCTGCTTGTAACTATATATGCTGTAGCTGCTTTTGAGATCATGCCCAAACATGCTGTATACATGCGTAAAAACATGTAAAAACGTTGTTCTGCATAGTTGTGGGGGGCGGCCTAATTAGGTGCAACCTTGGACTAGTGCCAACTCGGCTTGTTGGTCTAGTGATGCAGCAACTCCAGGGTTGTCCTGCTCAAACTGTATTTCAGGGGACTGTGCTTCGGAACAGTTACCAACGTCAGTGGGCATTGGGTTTCTCAGGAGGCTTCACAAACAAGTTGACACCCCAAACGAAATGGTGCTCTTTTCCTTTGGTCAAGCGCACGTGCTTGGCCTGTATTTCCATCCACTTTCTGCATTGCAAAAACCAGCAGCGCTGCAAGCTTTTGACAAACAAAACCGATGCCATGCTTGGGGCCACTAGTCAGTCAAACATTGGAGACCCCGAGACTGAGGCTTGGTAGATCGAGGCACTGGCAATGTCCAGCGAGCTGTTTTATAACTTAAAAAAATATCCTATCACTATCAATTATGCAATTATTCTCAAGCAATCCACTTTGGGCTCGCTTGAAGCTTGAGATTGTGTTCCAAGAACTCAGCTTCTCATATTTTCTACTAGGTCCCTAGGTTGGAGGCCATCGCTGGGAGCAAGAAGCTACTAGGAATAAGGCATTCACTCATCCTGATGCTCCCAGTTCTACTCCCTCGACCGCATCGATGTCTCGGATCCCTCGGATGCGCGCCATGTAGTCCAGGGAGTGGCTCAGCAGGATCAGCCAAACAAGGGTGAAGCGCCGGACCAAATACAATTTCGTCAGGTAGAGAAAGCCAAAGCTGGCAACACACAAGGGGAAATAACTACAAGTCACAAGAATGGTGGCAAGTGCACACGGAAGGGGATGGCACCCTGCTTGCGCCAATGTCTGTATGGCCATTATGCTTGCAGCTGTGCAGAGTGGCACGAAGGACCATACAAACATGTCATAGCGAGCGCTAAATTGACTTTGACGAACCTCCGGGGATGCCAAGACCAAAATGAAGTCAAGTGTCAGAAGTACCGGAGGCAAGGAGCAAAACAGTGAAAAAGCAAAGTCCGCTTGCAATGCGGTGCACTTCCGCCAGGTCCCCAGGACAAAGAGTGTGAGGGCTAATGGTGGCGCCACCCACGTTCCCCAAGGCAAGCTATTTCGGTAGAACTCCTTGTAAAACATGGTCTGAGTCTCCTCGGCTTCCTTGGCATGGACGACTGCAATCCATAGCACCCAGCTGTTCAGCCCAGCAAGCCAGCAAAAACCCCGAGCAGAACGTCCAGCCAGCCGACTTTCCCAAATGTTAGCACCTGCATGCTGAATCGTGTCGGGAATAGCCTTCGCACGCTGAGTGAAGTCCCATGTAAATGCACACATCATGATCGAGTGAAAAACTTGCCTTGACTGGCACAAAGCGGCGCACGATACATTGAAAGACATTGAACACTGACACACTTTCAAACACTTGGCCATAGACTTGGGCCACCCTGTGCTATTTTTTAAAATCAAGTCTTGACACAGAAAAGTCGGAAAGCTTCCTATACAAAGAACAGCTTGCGTCGGCAGTTCTGTCGTCATGTCAAAGTCGTCCACATAATGTTTACGCCAGAGCGCCTGCAATAGGGCAACATAGGCGCAAGTCAATACGAGAAGCAGTGCCGCTGGGTGAGCGTTACCTGCAACTGGTCTGTGATTGAACAGGAATGGCAGAAGGATGGAAGGTCAGAGTGTTAAGTTTCCCAAATAATCTGGTAACCAAGCGTGAGCTATCCTGCGTCCATGCTAGTAGCTTAAGTAAGCTACAGTAGTAGCTAGCTCTCTACTACTAGCTACCTCGGCCTACAACCCGTGGCCTAAATTAGGGGACATGGCAGAAAATGAAACTTGCCGGGATGCAGTGGCACAAAGCTACAAAGCCTTCCAGCCACTGTGCTGCCAGGAAGTCCAGCCAACTGATCGAGGACAGGAGCCACATGCTGAGTGTCAAAGCCAACGCAAAGAACAAAGACTCTGCAACACCTGCTGCGCTGATGTCAGTATGTCAGAGCACAGGCAACCATCTACATGTTTGACCGGTGGTGAGGTGGTTTGTCCTTTTCCGTCTCGCTTTCTGGGAGAGGGAAACCAGAATTCCGGGCCCAGGCACTTTCTTCATTGCAGGTAAGCATCGGGTACAGAGCTCCAGCCAAGGCGAACCACATTAGTGCGAAGGCGCCAAATGGCAGGAGGAAAAAGTTCTGGGACATCATGAAGACCTTGGTGCTGCACTCTAAGGACCGTGCAGTTCATGAACTTGAGAGTCACGAACATGAGGACACATGTGAGTTCATGCTCCGGTCAACCGGTCACCTCTCGGCCCAATGAAGGGGCCCCTTGTTTAGCCTTCACGTGGCTGCCATGGAGTGAGAAAAGGTCCGCACTTGGTGGACGATCGGTCGTGTGCTGTTGAGTCGGCATATCCATTGGTTTGCACTACATTGAGCATTGAGGTACACCCTTTTGTTGCTGGTTGTGTTGCTACATTGGTTGTACATGCTACCAGTGCACACCAACTGCACTGGTAGCGGAGCAGAGTTAGCTCCGGGGTCATGGCGGACGTCAAGGATCGGTTAAATGAGGTGCCTAGCTGGGACGGTTCCTCGAAGACTTGGCGCCGCTATTGCAAAGAAGTTGGATGGTATCTTTCTGGAACGAAGAGTTCCCAACGGAAGTACGTCGCTGCCAAACTGATCAGTCGGTTGTCGGGTGCCGCTCGCCTCCTTTCCATGTCCTGGCACCAAAGGGATTTTGAAGGTGAAGAAGGAGTTCAAGTCATGTTGAGGCGGTTCGCCTCCTCCCCTTTGGTGAGGCGCAGCCTTCCCAATGCGGCTGCGACGATGTCATCCTATTTCATGTTCCAACGACGGCCTGGAGAAAGCATTGCACAATTCCTGGCGAGGGAAACATTAGGTTTTGAGGAATTCCAGGAGGCCTTGCTACAACTCAAAGAGGAGAAAGATGGAATCTCCCCTGCAGATCGTTTGTTTGAGTTGCCTGAGATCACCACCTCCGAGACCTCAGACAAAGGTGAACGCTATTACAACCCTTGGCATCGAGATCAACGCTGGCGTGATTGGGAGGAAACCCCTTTTGAAGAGCAGGTTGAGCAAACAGTTGATGACCATGAGGGTTATGCAGCAGTTCCTCAAACATCCGATGCAGGTGAGGAAGCAGCTCCTCACTCACCGGCGGGGTCGCCGAACCGGACTCGTCAAACACAAAGGAGCCCTTCCCGCAAGACAGAGCAACAGAGGATGATTGATGGTTTGGGTCCTATGGATTCTTTTATATTAGATGTTTTGCGTGGCTGGAGACTACTTGTTGCAGCAAGCCTTACAAATGATGAATGGAGAGACATCCTAGCTAGCACTGGCAACAAGCTCGACTACCCGGCCATCGCTGAGGCTCTTCAGACCCTATGGGATGAACAGCTCAATCATCATCATGGAGCCTCCAAAGGTACAGTGTTGCAACAACATTGGGTTGAGACCGCAGATCCTTGGTATAATGCTGCGTGGCACGAGTCCTCGTGGGACACTGAGGATTGGCATGAGTCAGATTGGCACTCCATGGACCAATTTGGTGCGTGGCCTCAAGCTGCCAACGACCCAGTGGATAACACTGCAACCACTGATGATGATCCTGAACTCCAAGAAGCTTTGGAGGCTGAGAAGGCCGCAGAGGCTTTGGCAGTTGAAGCTCGTCGAACCTGGTCGCAAGCTCAGCAGGCTACAACAGCCCTTCGACGTGACCGTGGTTTTGGACAGTTTGCTGGAACCTCATCCTCCAAAGGTGGCAAGGGAAACATCCGTTGTCACATTTGTTCAGGTCCTCATTTTGCTCGTGATTGTCCTGACCGTCAACATCCACAGTACCGCAAGGGTGGTGGAAAGCAGTTGAGTCCAGCTGAGCTGGACGCCTATTTCTTCAAGGGCAAGGGGAAAGGCATGCGAAAAGGGAAGGATCAAATGATGTCCTCATGGGACGATTCCTACATGGCGCCTTGGGATGTGATGTACACCCAGAAGGGCAAGAACAAGAATGCTGGCAAGGGCGGAAAGCTTCGTTCCACCGTCAATGTCTATGGCATGGACTATGGTGGGATGGATTTTAGCATGATGGAGCTCCACACGCTTGAGTTCCATGAGACGATGGAAGCAGTTCCCTTGGAGCTCTACACCTCCAATGAGACTCCAGCTCCTCGAGCCATCCCTGAAGGATTTGGCATGTTGGATTGCGGGGCTACGGCCTCGGCTGGACCTGAAGCTTCTGTCAAAAAGTTGATCGCCAAGCTGCGTGAAAGTGATCCACAGTTGAAGGTCACCATCGATGTGGAACGAAGACCCTTTTTCAGGTATGGTTCAGGTCGTTGGGGACAGGCCATGTACTTTGCCTCCATCAGCGACCCCACGAACCCCACCAAGTCCTTTGAGGTGTTTGCCCTGCCGAATCCCACGGAGTATTACCAGAAGTCCTTCAAAGACTATATGCTGGTCCCAATTCTTGTCGGTATGGATTTCCTCACCAAGGTCGGCCTGATTCTGGATTTCCAAGATGGTCATGCAGTGTTTGGTATGGACCCTTCAGCTGAACCCTTCATCATGTCCAAGAACACCAAGGGTCACTTCATGGTCGACATCGGTCAGTACCTGTTCGGTCAGCCTTCCATCGGCTCTCAGGCTCCAGAGACCTTCACCGCTGGCATGCAGCTACAGGTTGGAGGACCCAGTGGTGATTGGTTTGAGCTTGCTGTCAACGAGAGTGATTCTTGTCATGTCTCAGCAGTTGATGTCCATGTCACCAAGCAGAGCACTTCCATGAGCACTGGTTTTGAGCTTTTGTTTCAACGCCGGAAGCTTTTGAATGAGCAGTCGCATTCCGCAGCTTTGGGCTGTCCAGTTGGCTCAACCTCACTGACGGCTCCTTTGACATCTGATGGCCAAATCCTCCAAGGGGTACAAGACCGCGACCCCACTGGATCCAGAACGTCGTCAGGGTCACGACTTGAAGGATCCTCGAGCTCAGCCATCATGCTGGCCGTGTCTCGGCAAGCACGTGCCCTCAGTGACTGGAAGCAACGCTCATGGTTCATGGGCCAAGTGCGCCGTGTGTGCTCTCCGCGTGGAGTACATTCCTCGTCAGGGGTCTCCGGCCAGCTCCGTGGTTCACAAGGACCACACCTTTGTGGACAAGGCTCTGAGCATGATCCAGGAGGGCATTCCGAAGGGCACTCTTCCGGACTACGAGATGGTGGAGAAGACCTACGACTATGTGGAAGCAATGGACAAGATTCGCGCCATGAAGGCCAAGATCTCCACCATGGAAGCCGAAGCCCAGGGAATGTTGAACAGCCTCGAGATCATGTACAACGGCTCCAAGAAGAAGACCACGAAGGCCACGGAGGCCGAGAGGATCCTGGCTCATTTGACGCCGGAGGAGTGGACCCACGTCAGCAATCTGGCATCGCAACGACAAGCCGGACAGAGCTCGACATCGGAGATGATTCCCTTCAGCCCCAGCTCGGACGTGGAAGTGGAGGAGATCACACCGGCGAAGGCCAAGAGTCCAGTGATCCACCTGGGCTAGATGAGACACTCGGCACCACCGTGCCGGAGCTACAGATTGAACAGTTCGCGAAAAAGGTTCAGTTCTCTGACGCTCCACCGGAGGTGCATCAATTCGTTGACACCACAGCTGAGACAGCTTCTGAGGTTCCCGATCAGGAGTACACTTGTGAGACTGTGGAGTTTGAGCTTTTGAAGATCGATGAGGGCAAGTCCAACAAGTCCTCACGCCGTGGCAAGTCTCGTCGAGCTGCCAAGCATGTTTTGAATTCAACTTCATCAAGAACCACCTCACTCCATGGTTCAGCTTCGTTTTCACCCGCACAGGAGATGGAAGAGCAGCTCTCTTCAGCACCGTCCCGTTCATCTGGACTCTCCGTGCTTCCTTGGAGAATTTGCCAGGCCGTGATGGCCTTGAGTAGCATGCTCCTTTTGGTGGCCCAGAATGACCTGAGCACTTTGCTTCGTGGCCACCAGCAAGTCGATGTCTGGGAGATCTTTTGCGCTCCCGATTCTTGGTTGAGCTCGGCTTGTCACTCGGAAGGACTGACTGCCTCCCGCATCAATCTCCACCAGAACTTCGACATGTACCGTGCCGACACCTATGATGAGCTTTGGGACAAGTTCAAAAGAGAACGGCCTCGTCGCATCTGGGTCTCTTCCAGGTGCACCTACTGGTGTCCGTTCACCAGCCTGAACTACCAGACCGTCGAAGAGAAGAAGATCCTTGAGAAGTATCGACGGAAAGAACGAGCCATGTTCCGTCGGCTGATTCCCTTCCTGTCCTCGGCCGTGCAGTACAACCCCAACCTCGAGATCTTCTGGGAATGGCCCACTCGATGCTATGGCTGGAATGAGCCTATGATCCAGCGTTTGGGTCATGAGATGATCAAGGCCAATAAGGAGTGGCTCTTTGCTCGCATTGATGGTTGCCGCTATGGCCTACTCTCCAAGCAGGGCCTTCCTTTGAGAAAGCAGTGGACCATTGCCACGACTTCAAGACACTTCTTCACAGTGTATCGAGCCAAGACTTGCACTGGATCCCATGACCACGACCACATCCAAGGAGTTGAGACCAACCGGTCCGCCTACTACCCTTGGAAGATGTGCAAGTCAATTGCTCAGCACTGGCGAGCCGAACTCTATCCAGCTCGTTGGCTTGATCGTCTTCAATCTCCCGTTGCTGCACACATGACAGGAGAAGAGCAGATCCACTCACTTCAGCTCGAAGCAATGCCTCAAGAGCTGGAGGATGACGATGAGCCCAATGCAGAACTTCGCAAACAGTGGGACATCCAGCTGCTCAAGTACCACAAGGCAGCCGGACATCCCAACAACTACAACTTGGCCCGCATCATCCGAGAAGCTGGTCAACCCCGCTGGAAGGTTGAAGCAGCCTTGAAGCTGCCATGTGATGATTGCAAAGCCTTGAAGATGGGCGGCGCTTCCAGTGGCAAGATACCACCAGCTTCCATGCGGCCGCTTCCAAAGGCTTGGGAAATGGTACAAGCTTTTGGTTCTGATGGACTTTGCCACTCATTTCAAAGCTGGCAAGATCCTACGCTCCATGGATCTCTACAAGCAGGAGAATGAGAACACCACTGAGATCCTCGAGGGCATCTTTGACCTCTGGCTTGCTTCCAAGCCTAAGATGACCATTCTGGTCCCTGACAATGCGAAGTCTATGGTCAGCGCCCAAGCTCGAACCACCCTCTCCGACCTCAACATCCAGATTGAAGTACCACCAGCTAAAGAAAGCTGGAGCCACGGCCTGATGGAAAGAGCCGTCCAAGAGGTCAAGATCGTTGCCTCCAAGACTGCGCTCTCCTTTCCGGCGCTCTCTGCAAAGACCATCTTGGCTCTCTCCATCAACTCCCTCAATGCCACAGAGGTCGTGCAGGGGTACACTCCTCATCAGTGGGTGTATGGGAAGCAGTTTAGCTTCTCAGAAGAAGATGAGAGATCCATGCAGCAGATTCTGCCTGATGTCTCAGGTACCGACTTCATCTCCCTGCTCTCCAATCGACAACAAGCAGAGGAGATTGCGAGAAAGGCGAGATCCCAGTTGGTTCTTGGAAAGCTTCGCAATTCCCGTGTGAGGCAACCTCTTCAAGTTTTCCAGCCCATGGACCTTGTCAAGATCTGGCGTCGCTATTCAACTGATGGTGGTGCCAGAGGAGGTCTTCGCCAGCTTGGCCATCCTCAATGGCTGGGTCCGGGCAGAGTTGTCTTCCACGAGGTCATCCATGGTCAACGACCGGAGGAGGAAAGACGACACATCGTCTGGGTCATTGTGGCCGGTGCCATGCATCGATGTTCAGTGCACTCGGTCAGAAAGGTCACGGAGCGTGAACGCCTTGACTACGAGATCTCAAATCCAGAAGATCCTTCTCATTGGCGCTCCTTGGCTGATATGGTGCCTCGTCGGTCGTACATTGACCTGCTTCCAGAAGAGCCAACGGAAGAAGATGTTGAGTTACCTCCTTTGCCAGATGAGCCTGGTCCATCAACACTTCAGGATCAAAGGCCTCCAGAGAAGCGACATCGTATGAAGAGCCCATGGTCACCACTTCATGGACCACAACCTCCACCGGCTGTGCCATCTCTGGAGTATACTCCCTCAGAAGCACCTCTCAATGAGTCTGAGGATCAGCCAACTCACGCTGAACCAGATGACACTGAGGAAGTGACCGGCACTGGCATTGGCAGTGGCATTCCAACCTTGGGTGAACGCTTCACCAACCTCTCGGACAACAAGCCCTTGATCTCATTGTCCTCCGACAGTTCCAAAGCAAGTGCTTCAGATTCAGCAGCTGAGCCTGACTCCAAGAAGGCTCGCCTGGACTCCGATGCCCTGATCTTCCACGCCTTGGAGATGTGCGAAGAAGGTTGGATCTTGGACATTGAGTTGGACGTCAAGTCCCAAAGAGAGAAGGAGCGTTTCATCAAGCACCCTTCGTTGTTCTTGGCTCAGAAGCTCCGTGACTGTGAGGTCAGATTGGAAAAGCTTTCGCCCGCACATCGTGAACTTTTTGTTCGTGCCAAGTCAAAGGAGGTCAACAGCTTCCTGACCAATGTGGCTGTCCGTCGTTGCCTGGACAGTCACGAAGAGCGTGAGGCTTGGGACTCTGGGCGCATCATGCGCTGCAGGTGGGTTCTCACATGGAAGCCCACTCCTGAGGAGAGCATGGAAGAAGCTCTTCAAGAAGTGGCATCCAAGCCTGGCTCCACGACTCTGACATCCGATGGCAAGAAGAAGGCCAAGGCAAGAATTGTTTTGCTTGGTTTTGAGCATCCTGATCTACTTCATGAAAGCCATCGTACTTCCTCACCAGTGCAAGCAGTTCTCACTCGCAACTTGTCTTATCAGCTGGTGATGGAAGAGGGTTGGGACATTGAAGGCATTGACATGAGCACCGCCTTTTTGCAAACACTCCCCACTGAAGAGTCCAAGCGCCTGTGGACAACCGGTGTCAAGGAGCTCAGGGACGCTCTCCAGATCCCCGAGCGTGGTGTGATGCGCATTTTGAAGAACTTCTACGGAAGCACCACGGCTCCCCGGAATCTGTGGGAGAATGTTGACAAGAGCCTCCGTGACTTGGGAGCTGTGTCCATTCAGGGCGATGCCTGTTTCTGGATTTGGTTTGTGGACAATGAAGCCTACAATCCTGCCACGGATCCTGAGCACTTCAAGCTGCGACCCCTCGGCTTCATGGCTGGACATGTGGATGATTTTCACCGTGCTGGCGATGTCAAGGACAGCCGTTGGACGCAGATCAAAGCAGCCATTGATAAACAATATCGTTGGGGCACAGCAAAGCAGAACAGCTACCGCCATGCAGGTACAGATTTGTCCATGCAGAAGGACGCTAAGTTTGGGAGGTGTCTTGTGGTGGATCAACAGTTTTACATTGAAATGTTGCAGGACGTTGATGTGCACCCCACTCGGTTCAGCAACGGATCATCCACCATGACTCCCAAGGAGATTGCGGCCTGTCGGACATCACTTGGTGCCTTGCAGTGGTTGGCGGTCCAGTCACAACCGCTCATCACTGCTCGCTGCAATTTGCTCATTACTGAGCTTTCCACGGATCCCAAGATCCAGATCGCCCAGGAGCTACAAGAGATGATTCGGGAGCTGCGCAAAGAAGGGTCAACATTGAAGTTCTTCAAGTTGCCTGGCGTTCGTCGTTGGACGGATTTGTGTGTGGTTGGCCTGGGGGACCAGGCGCACAACAACAGACCCCGTGGAGGGTCGACGGGAGGCATGACAGTTTTCCTGTCAGGCCCTGACGCCCTCAAGGGCGTCCCAACGCCAATGTGTTTGGTGGCTTGGCGCAGCTGGAAGCTGAAACGGGTGGCGATCGGCACCAACGATGCCGAAATGCAGGCGATTGTTGAAACAGAGGATGTGGTCTATAGAACCAGACTGCTATGGGCAGGCATGCACGGCACCGGCTCCATCTTCAAGGGCCGGGATTTGCTGAGCCTTGCGGACTCTCAGGTCCGGTTGGTCCCTGGTGTGCTTGGGACCGATTCGAAAGGAGGGTTCGATTCGGTCATGGTGAACGAATCACCGCTGCTGGGTTTGTCGAACATGCGCGCTGCCATACAGGCATACCAATTGAAGCAGGCCATTCGATTCTGCCTCACCAAGTTGATTTGGCTTGCGAGCGACTAGAACTTAGGTGACGCGCTCACAAAAAAGAAGGGCGACTGCAGAGACAGTCTGACTTTCTTTTTGCGCCACCGCGCTTGGCAGCTCAAGTTCGATCCGAACTTCATCGTTTCGGCCAAGAAGCAGCGACAAGCTTCGAGGACCACTCCCTCTCAGGTGCTCGGTAGGAGGATCATGAACTCAAAAGAAAATTTTGGAGATGCAGTTCATGAACTTGAGAGTCACGAACATGAGGACACATGTGAGTTCATGCTCCGGTCAACCGGTCACCTCTCGGCCCAATGAAGGGGCCCCTTGTTTAGCCTTCACGTGGCTGCCATGGAGTGAGAGAAGGTCCGCACTTGGTGGACGATCGGTCGTGTGCTGTTGAGTCGGCATATCCATTGGTTTGCACTACATTGAGCATTGAGGTACACCCTTTTGTTGCTGGTTGTGTTGCTACATTGGTTGTACATGCTACCAGTGCACACCAACTGCAGACCGTCATGAATCATGAAAGTTCAAAAATATCCAACAATCATCAAACATCTCAGCCCCAAGTCCTGATTGATTTAGTCAATATGCAACGAAGCCACCTTCCAAGACTGACACCACAAGACAACATGCTCACAGATCACGAAGCACCGAAATGCGCTACCCGTTTTGCGACGAAGCCAAGGACTGTTGAGTGTGTGGAGATCTGTTGTGTCCCTCCACCACGCCACCAAAGCCGCACGATTCCCGGAAAGCGTCAGAGCCGCACGGTTCCATCGGCATGAAAATCATGAAGGCGGCGATGGAGGGTGTGATGCGTATGAACACATCAAACATGAAAAGAGAAACCACAATACCTGCACTCGAAAAACCAGACCGTTCCTAGTGTCAGTGTTCCTGGCAAAATCTGACGAGAACACATGAAGATTGCTTGAGGCCCACGATCCACTTCATGGATTTCAGCATATTTTGGCTTGGTTGTGAAAAACTCAGTGGGGCACAAATTACGTGTGGGACGATGACAGCAATGCCCGCCTTGCCAGCTCGCTGAAGCTTCAAGGCGGCCTTGACCAGGATTAGCATAAGCTGCCGTAAATTCTGTGTCTATCATTCTATTTAAGTCCAAGAGTGGACAACTTCACACAAATCTGTTATCCATTATTATCCCAAAATCTTTCGATAGCCCCTCTTTCACCTGCCTGGGAGAAACAGAAGGTCATTGAACGTCATCCAGTCAGTCCTTTTCCATCACAAACTCTGGGTTCTAAACCGAGCCTTCCCCTCTTCGAAGCTGGCATAGCGGATCCGCAGCACCAAGCAGCGGAGGGTCCGTGCCAGCACCGACTCAGCAATTCGGAGTGACATAGCATTGGTTCTCAGACCTTTTGCTTTGCACTGCAGGTTTTGGTCAGAGAACCGTCACGAAAACAAATGCTATGCAAGCGCATCCTTCTCGTGGCTATCCCCGTGTGTGGCTCTTGGGCCAAAAGGAATATCACTGGTTGCTTCAAAGACACAAAGTCCTCAGCTTCTTCGCGCATCCTGCCAGGCTGATGGAACTGATCAATGATTCCACGGTGATTCCACCAGCATCTGGATAGATTGTTTTGTTTTCATTTTCGATGTTTCATCTCCTGGTCACTTCATGTGTCGCCACTTTTCCGCGTCGAAGAGTTTGCAACTTCACCTGAGAACGCTTGCTGCAAAAAGGGCAAAGCATACGCAGTAATTATCAAAAATGGAATGCAACAGTTCTATGTGCGTCTCTTGATAATTGTATGTATATATATATATATATATGTGCGTGTGTGTGTGTGCCCCTTGTAGTCACAGGGATTCAGTTGAATTGTTTCTTCAGCAGGGGGCCAGGACTCCCTGGCGCGCGTCCTGGCCAACGAAGACCGCGCGCCAGGGAGGTGAAAACGTACCTGCTATTGTTAAACTGTTGATTGGTTGCTGTGGTCCCTTGGTTTGTTTCATGGTGGTTCATGTACCTGATGTTGTTCCAGGAGGTGTTTAGGTTTTCAGGTACTTCATAAAGGGCCAATGCACGCTTCGCCGTCATCCTGTCGCTCGTCCGTTTTTCGTTTTGAGCTCTGGAGATCTTTAACTTACCTGAACCTGGAGATGAGTCACAGTCCTGCACGCACGTCGTCAACCTGTCGCGTGATCGTCGATGCTATTGGTTTGGTCTAGCTGTACCCTTAGGAAATGGTAACCTAGGCCGGCGTGTGGCACCGCTGTCAAGTCAGTACGCATTTCCATAAGTGTGTGTAAATTACAATGATAGCCTTTCTCAGGGGTCTACCTGTTGCGTGGAGACAATGTGCAGGGGGAGTGAATATCAGTGTATAGCGTTCTGCCAGGCCACGGCAGAGTCTGCAGCTGCAAAGTGAGCTTTGGCGATGCGCAGCTGCATGGTACGGAGCAGTCCCCACACCAGCAAAGAGTCCTGGAGCAGTCTCACCAGATCTCACCAGCATCAATGGAGTTCTACACATCCCGTTGCCACATCCCAGTTGCTGTCCCTGCCTGTCGCTCCTGCTGCCTGCTTGCCAATTCCCTTCGGGACACTTGGCACCGACGTCCTTGCCTTGGCAGCCCGTGGTGGTTCGAGTCAGTGAGGTTCAGAATATCAGTGAAGGATGCTGGGACCCCTGAGGGATTTTAATATACAGTAAGCTCGGTCCATTTTGGCCCTGGACTGAAGTGTCTGCGCCGCATTGGAAGATACAAGCCTCACCAGCAGGAAGAACAAGGAAATGCAACAGCATTCAGCTACCTTTTTGAATGGGTCGGGGGAGGTGAGCTAGCTTTGCCTCCAAGAGTCTCACTCAGCCTTTGCCTTATCAGTACGTTGTTGAAAATGGACAGGAGGAACCTCTCGTCCTCTGCTAAACAGTTGCTAAGTGCATTCAGCCAAATTCATCCCCTGACGCTGCCGACACTCCTTGATGACCTGCACCTCACGTTGTGCTACGCAAGCCCGCCGCTGGGCTTGGAGGCGTCCGGTCGCCTATAGCGGTGCAGGGCCACAAACACCTTTTTCACCAGACATGGCTAGCCTGCTCAATGGCGGAAGTGGCCAGCGCTTGGCGGCATGCAATGGCCTCCCATGCTACTGCTTTCGTGCACCAAGGATGATACGAAGAAAGCATCCATCAGTTCAAGGCTTCATTATTTGCCTTCACCACTGCTGAGACCCCCTTCTGCGCATCCAGCTCGGCCCGCCGTGACAACACTTGGAGTGCGGGCTGCCACGGTGCAGCAACCTCAGAGAGCATCTCCTTAGCGTGCAGAACTCTAAAAACGTGGAGCGAACATGCCTGCGAGTGACTAAGTAGAAAAGAATGGCCATGATCTGTTGACTAGTTTGTCCAGGAACTGATCGGGCCAGAAACATCCGCACCACCGCTTGGAGCGTCTCTGCGCTCTGCGTCTTTGTCTGCGCATCGGCTGTCACTGCCCTTGCCATTCTCATTCGCAGCCGCAAGGCGTACAAAACATGGCGAAGAAGCTCTGCATCCTTGACATTTCGAAGCGACCCTTTCTATTCAAAGCGGGCATGCAAGAGGACACAGGAAAAGAGATAGTAGTACGGCCAGGAGCCCCTAGTAGCGTCCTTGCTCCCAGTAGCGATGCCAGGAGCCCCCAGTACCGAACATTGCTCCTAGTAGTACGGCCAGGAGCCCCTAGTAGCTTCTTGTTAACATGATGATATGACTGATATGCTCTCTGTCCAGATGTTATGTCTTTTCGTGCCCAAGGCTCGGCTTGTCGATCCTGAGGGGATGCCTCAGACCTGAGGCTGTGGCACAGTGTGGCACGATGTCCCTGCCGTACTGCATAAGTCATTTCTGAGGCACGTTAGTGTGGTCTTTATTGCTTTCCTTGAAGGCATCAATGGCATCAACATCAAGAAGTTGAAGAACTATGGAACATAGGTTCTCAGCTCAGGAAAATGGGACAAGTGCAAACGACGAGGGCACAAACCCCTGATTCAATCTTGCCCTGGTGGCAGTCAATTTCACTGAGCTCAGGTTGGAAGATTCATCAACAGAATTGATCAGAATTGCCAACATCCAGCTCAGCTCCCAGCAAACCAGGCAATCCAGGCGAACCAATCTTCGCAGTCTTCTCCGGTTTGGCTGCTTCTCTCTTCGGCGTGCTAGCGGCAGTGGCACCACGCACGGCGTTTGGGCTGGAGGCACTCTTTGGGCCCATGGTGGGCCATGGCCTACAGACCAGCCTAAAGTTAAAGTGTTACCCGATTTTCTCTCATCCATAAAGGGAGTCTCTGTCATTGCCGCTGTTCAATGTCGATCTCATAGCGCAGCAGTGTCGGAATTCAACTAGGTTCCACAATACAATACATGAGAAGCAACGTGATCTTCTGAGCCTTTGTGGCACCAATGGCTGCAGGAAAAGACGCCGCAATCTTAGCAAGTTTTTTCTTGGGGCACTCCAAGTATCTTGCACTGAAATCCCCAACCGTGTCGCCCCGTAGTCCTTTTTTTGGCAGCAGCGCACCTGCAGCTCAATCAACAATGGCCTTCATGACGCTCTCAGGAACAGCTTCGCACCAGCCTTCAAGCAAAACAAACACGCACTCGCAAACTGACTAGTTGGACCTGTTTGTGGGACAAGGAGCGTTACACCGTTACAAATCATTGGACGAGCAAACGGTTGCGGACTCGTGAGGTTGCTGTCTTTCCCCCGTGGCCAGCAGGCACAAGTTCTTCAGCTCTTGACAAGATCGCTGAAAATGCAGGCCTTGGGTGAAACTTTTGGTCTCAAAAACAGTCTGCTCAAAAATGGTTGCCGCGCCAACCCGAGGTTTACCACATCCACTTCAACCCAAGATCTGTGTGCGTGCCTTGCAACACAGGGTGGCCTTTTGCCAGGCGCCTGATCGTGCTGAATGGAAAGATCTCAAGTAGCTCCTCGAGGCAAAGTTTGCTGCAACTGCCCCACGAGAATTGCAGCTGTCTACTGGGTGCCCTTTCCACAGGCCCAAATGCTCGCATTGAAAGTGATCAGCTACTACACGGTGGCCATTTGCCACTCACCCCACTTCTCGCGGGAACGGATGGCAGCATTGAAAGCAACCACATTACTTTCGCACACCTTGCCTGCCATGTTCCAGCTGTATTGGATTGCACCTGAGCTCATAGAAAGGCCGTTCTGCCTGCTGCCACTCTGCCTGCTTCTCACAGGCACTCGTAATATAATTGCACCTTGCGAGCGAAGCTCCTGAAGAACGCCGTGGCTGAATTGTAAATGGCTGCATGACTCTTGAGGTTTCGTGTTGCATATGTTGCAATCAAGCCCAGCTGCAGGTGATATCGATCTGGACTTCCTCCCTCCACGGTGTCTCGCCACGTCGAGCTGAGCTCCGTCCAAGATGTCCCAGCGAAGCTCCGGAGAAACCTCCCATTGGCTTTAATGGCGGCGGTGTGTGCCAGCTGTTAGCACAGGATTCGCGCAGGTGGGCCACCAACATTTGTAGATCTACTGCATACACCGACTCGAGTTGATCAAGGGAGCCACCCAATTTCTCTCAATTCAAGGGCTCAGCCGGAAGCACAAAGCAGCTTGCCGCGTGGTTTTGCAAGTTCTTTGGTCCATGATAGCGGTCCTGACTTGAACCAGCCACTGCGGGATTCGGACGCCCGCACACAGTCAAACAGCCTAGTGGTCAAGCCGTCTCTTAGGCTAAACGAATCTAGACGAGCACACGTGCTCAAAGCAGCTGATGCAATGATCGAAATTTCCCAGAGGTTGACCAAACAAAAGGTCAACAGTTGCAGTCGGATAGGGCACCAGAAAGCTAAAAGAGTTGCTGATGAAGATTTGTGATTTGTGGGCCTCTGCTGGACACCCCAATGATGGTTGCGCTCAACATCCAGCGCCACGCTAAAGGGCTCTTCAATAAAGACTGGGTGCCCGGGTGTTAGGAATATGACCATTGATGAAAGTATGAAGACCTGCATCCAACAAGTCTTCAGTCGACCGGAACCAGAAAGCTGACAAACAGCGAAAGCGAGAAAACCAGGCCAAGAATGATGTGATGAAAAACAAGCGAACAGCTTCGGACTGTTTGTGTTTCTATGTGTATATATATATATTCATGTATTTTTGGCTGATTCATTGTGGCCACTTCCTTAGTTGGGAAATGTTGGGAAGTGCATATCATCTAGCGACGTTTTAGCATTACACACATATACATATATATATATATACATATGCTTGGCGAAGGAGACACCTAAAGAAAAATTCGAAAGAACATTTTGAATCAATCAGGCAGTTCATCAACAAAACAAAGAATTGTCGACGCCATCACTACTAGGGTGGAGGGAGGCCTTCTCTAGTAGAACAAAGTCTGGAGGCAGGGTGGCTTACCACACTGCTTGGTGGTAAGCTTGCAGGGTCTGGGATGCTCGATCCTGATCCTGTTGAGAAGTTCTGGTCCAAAAGCAAGTCCTGTAGCAATTTGGGTCAATGAGTCGCTGCTTCATCTGCTGCACCTGCGGCTTCGCACATTTCACTACAGCAAAACGTGCAGCTCAGCCCATTGCGAGCCTTATGGTCTACAATTCTGAGAGCTTGCAGAAAGTGCGCGTGTCCGCAACCCCTCTCACAAGCCGTGAGCACGCAGCTCAATGCCAGGACATTGGGATCCGCTCGCCGACGTCGGAATATATCCAACATCAAACTGGTCTTCCTCCAAATGGCAGGTGCCAAGAATAAGTCGGCCATGGTCAAGCTGCTGGTGCTACCAGTTAGAACTTCATTGACCGGCAGCCCGTGCTCCCACAAATCCTCCAACAAGAACCACCCCTTTTGCCATCCACTGAGAGCACTGCAGGAGGTGACGAGGGAAGTACAACTGATTACATCTAGTTCATCAGATTGGCGCAGCTCAAGCGCCCGGTGCCACAAACTGAATGGTGCATAAGCATCAATCGCAGTATTGTACGTGATTGAATTGGCCTGGATCCCATGATGCCTCATCTCCTCCAAACATGCTATGCTCGTCTTCCAGCCTCCTTGCCTTGCAGTAGCAATCGCCGAGTTGAAGGTTACAGTTGTAGGCTTCATAGTCTCGCGTTTCAGCTCCTTCAGTAGTAAGCGGGATTGCTGCCACTCCTTTCCCGTGTCGCAGCTAGAAATGGCCGTATTGTATGTGACAATCTGACTTCTCAACCTCAGGTGCTGCATCCATTTAAGCATCATCTGCACTCCCTGCCACAGGTTTACAGCTCCCGCTGCGCTCATGACAATATTGAAGAGTACCACATCTGGAGAATCAATGGCCTGAAGCAATGACATGGCCTTCGTCACCTCAAGGGCACGCCCACAGGCAGCGGCTGCAGCCCCCACAGCCGCCACGTCGCAAGGTGAGAAGTTGCATCGACCACGTGAGGTGAGAAGTTGCAAGGCCCAGCGCCAAGAGAAGCCGTTGGAAATGGTGCGACTCACATCGACCACGTCACTCCTTACACGAAACCAGTGAAGCTCTGCAAGCCAAGCAAGTGCCAAAGGCCATGGGCCGCTGCCAGTTGGAGACAAAGAGTTGATATCAGGAGATGGCGAAAGCAACCACCTGGCTTGACGCCACAGATCTTGTTTGTCAAAGGCAGCCACAACGGCATGATATGTGACGTTTGTTGCTTCCACCTGAATTGCAGCCACATCTTGTAGCACTTGTTGTGCTTTGGCCCACAGGCCCCGACGAGCCAAACTGCCGATCAAGGTGTTGTACACGGCAATCGCGGCATCCAGCCGGTTGTGTTTAAGGTTCATCACGAGACCCAAACCTTGGTGCCACCCACTCGCGTCCTCACAGGCTCCAAGTACAGTGTTGCATGCGACCGTGTTGATACTCTCGGCCTCGTGCAAATGGAAGTTGGAGAGGAGTTCGGTTGCTACTTGCCAAGACCCCCCATTCCTGCATATGTTCATCGACATGGACAAAACAAAAGCATCCACAAGTCCAGGCACCTTTTGAAGGATGAGTTGGGCAAATCTCCAGTGTGGCGTCATATCAAGACAGCTTGCAACTGCACTGCGCAGAATTACATCCACCTTGACTTCCCTTTGCTGAGCGCCTTCCAAAAGGTGTGTTGCGTGCTGCCATCCGACTGAACGCTCACAAGCTTTCACAGCGGAAGTGTAGGTGATCACATCTGCTTCCAGACTTTGTGCCAAAGATGTTTGCAACAACAAACTTGCTAGCACCCACGTGTGGGAGCAAGCACGAAGTACAGCGTTGCATTCTGCCTGGTTAGCCACTTGAAGCAAGCACAGCTGATGCAATTCCAGCAACGCTTCCTTCCAGCCAGGCTTGGACAAGCTTATGGTGCGAATGGCTTGCAAGGCCAAAGCACCTCGTGCCATCCGTTGGTCATAGAGGTGCAACAGCTGAGACAAGCCTGGTGCTCGTGCTTGTGTTTGCGGTCGCATGTCGTTCAATAATGGTCAATAACCCTTTCGCAGGCCCATTGGCGGTCCCCTTCGCACTGCATCAATAAACTGGCCGGTTTGAAGCACTGCAAGGGACTGCCACCATTTAGACCAAAGCCAAATGGCGCAAACCAGCAAATACCCTACTTTATCCTACTTCCATGCTTGCTGCTGCTGGCATTCAGGGACCCATCGTAGCAGGGGAGCAAAGCTAGAGGTGAAACAAGGCTTGCTGACGGTGCCCCTATCATTTCTACTATTTCCGACAAGCATCACCTACAGTGTCACTTTCTCACATCTCAACCACCTCGCATGATGTTTACAACCCTACCAGTAGTGGCCCAATCCTAATTAGTGTGTTGCCATTCTAGCTCTGGGCACTTATCTAGACAGTCATGTTTCCTGAGGTGACGTGGAAAAGGATGACATGAGTCTAGAGATTAGGTCGTAGGTGCTCAAAGGGCTCCTGGTGCTCTGATTTTGTTTGGTTATTGTGGTTGGGGCCAAATTATCTGGAAACCAGTCTCACCACATCTTGCTAGGGTGCAGGGTGAAATCTTTCTCCGGCTGCTCACCCGGAAAAAAAGGTCAACGTGCTTCAAGCAAGAATGTTGGTGGCACCGCAAGCAAGAATACACAAAAACACCCAGTATAATGGAATTCCTATGGTCCTGTAGCAAATGTGCAGTTTGCACATGGCCCATGTGGCCACGTGTTGGGATCAGAAAGCAGCAACTCCCTTTTCCTTCGAACACCACCGAAGAGAAGGCACTCAATTTGGGCAACGGCATCTGCCTCAAGAACTTGCAGGCTTTCAAGAACTGATCCAAACTCCATCCCTTGAGACAAAGCGTGGACCAGGGCGTCGTGCGTGATCGCATCGGCGTCCAGCCGTCGGTTTCGAAGATGCTGGAACCACTGCATGGCCAAAGGCGTGTGACTTGCTTTGGCAAAAACGGCAATGGCCGCATTGCACAGAATCAGATTTGCATGGAGCCGTCCCTCCTCCAGCTCACAGAGTAAAAGCTGAACATGTTGCCACCGGCAGGACTCCTCAGTGGCAGTGATCACTGAGCTGAAAGTCACAAGGTCCGCTTGCATGTCTTTCTGAAGGTCAGGCAGCATGATCTGAGCGTGTTGCCATCTTGCAGACTTTTGGAAGGCACTTATTGCCGCATTCAGTGTTTCAACCTGAACCTGAACACATTCACACCGCACGCTGTGAAGCAAGCTTTGGGCAAATTGCCACTGCGAGGTCTTTTCGAAAGCGCTCACGGCCGAATTGAAGCAAACGATGCTCGCTTGAAGCCCTGCAACTACACCCCAGCGCAGCAACAAGTGTTGTGCCTCTTGCCAATCCCCAGTCGCCTCGCTTGCACTGATGGCGGAACTGAGGCCAAAAGGATCTACCTGCAAACTGTCGCCTCTCAAAGCATGCAGCACCGCTCTCGAGCTTCGCCACACTTCGCTTCCATGGGTGCTTAAGGCAGCGTTGAATGTCAACACATCGCGCCTGACCCCGAGGTTCTTCGCGGAAATCAAATATCCGCCGACCAATCTCCATTTTCCTCGAAGCGAAGTGATCACAGTGTTTTGTGTGATTGTGTCTGCAGACGTGTGCAAGAGTGACAGGAGCTCGCGCATGGCAAGAGATAATCTCCACTGCGCACTGTTCGCCGAAGCAGTGATCATGCCGTTGTAGCTGATCACGTCAGCTTGCACACTTTGTTCACATAGCCGCAGCAGGTCCCAGGCAGCTTGCCAGGTTCCGCTGCGTGCACAGGCACTGATGGATGTGTTGTACACAACTGAATTTGTTTGCATCTGCTCATCAAGGAGCTCTCGAAGAAGAGATCCTGCATGTTGCCAAGCTCCAGCCTTCTCACAAGCACTGATGCCTGCACCATAGATGATCACGTCTAGTCGGATTTGCATCTGGCAAAGCATTCGCATCAGGAGCAATGCTTGTTGCCAGGCTGCTCCTTTAGCACAAGCAGTTATGGCAGAGCTACATGCAATCAAATCTGGCCTCTCCAAATCCATCAAAGACCCTAAAGCTTCTTGCCATCGAGACTTTCGCCCCAAGCTCTGCAGCCCCAACGTCGTAGACTTCAAATTCTTCTGCTGGAATGGGTGCGAGGTGCTAGGCTCCATTGCACAGAATACGGCACATGCTAGCCAGCAGCTGAAAACTAATTCTCCATTTGAGCCACTGCATAACAGCAATAGCTTTTGTATGCTTGTGTCGCTTGTTCTCAAGACGAGCCTACCACCCTTATCAAACCCACAGAGCGCCACAGCCCCTGGTGCCTGCAAGCCACACTGTGCCAAGCTGCAGCTCTCAACCAAGGGCTGCGGAAGGAGCAGCCCATCACCTCAGACATTCTGAACCTGAACCCGGTTGTCTTTACTCAAATAACCTCCTCAGAAAGATGCCGCTTCCAGAAGCGTAGAGCTTTGCGACTTCCAAGGCTGGCAGCTTTGCAGAGCTGTCACTGCCTGAGTGCGTATGCTGCGTGGCTCAAGAACGCAGCAGGCAGGGTGAGGCGTGTTGAGTTCTAAGGCCAACCTGAGAATAATCATCAAACATACTGTATTTCACCAAAAACAATTTTTTGGACCAAGCGACCGTCATTGCAAACATCTGTGAAGCGACACCACACGTCCAGCTGCTCCAAAGCACGCTTCTTCACAGAGAGCACAGTCTCGGAGCGCCGTGCCTGAGAAGGGATGAGATGTGGACAAGCCCAGGACAGTCCTGCCATATGGCCCATCGGTGACAACATCAGTTTGTCTATGTTGGTCCTGGAGCCCTATGAAGAACACAAACATCACAAACGGAAAACTGTAAGGAACTGAAAGGAAGTGAAAGCCAGAAGCCATGCTTGGTTATGCATCTTCCAAGTTGACGCGACAAGGAACTTCAATGTTCACTTCGCCCAGGGCATGAGCCACCAACCTGTGGCCAAGCATATGTCTGGCGGAAGGTGAATGCCATACACCGCCATGTGAGTCACATATACATGAATGGATGCATTTATCAGCCCAGCTGCAAATGCACGATTGGACTGCACCTGGGCTCATTGCATGAAAGGATTCTGTTGCCCAGTATGGCTACTAGATCACACAACTTCATCCTCCATTCACCGTATATCTTTTTTGGGGGGGTGGGGGCAGGAGTTTAAGGTCATCGCAAAGGTTGTGAGTTGTGAGAAGAAAAAACGCCGTGTACTGCATGCAAGCTGCATGTCTTCCGGCTCATCCAAGATTGGCACAATTTCTTGCCCCAGCTGCCCTAGCGACGTGGTCTGAAAGAATTTTGCACCAGTGGGCAAGCGCGGAACTCTCCGGCAAACGGGTGAGCCTGACTGTGACGGTTACGTAGTCTCGCTCTTCTTTTAGGTCTCCGGGATTGGTCATCCCCGCTGTCTCGATCACACCCCAATTTTCTGCAGTCATCCAGTGGCCTTGATTCAGCGCCAAGTCTGGACTTACAACTGCATGGTCGGTGCCCAGGTGGAGCTCATCTCCATTTTCCAGTCCACCTGATCATTTGGCATGGGTGGCACGGTCGGACATTGGATGTTCAAGGCCATCTCATGAATGAGAACAAATGCATGCGAATTGACAGGAGCAAGGACGCTACTAGTAGCTCCTGGCATTACTACTAGTAGCTGTATATTTGGCTAATAGTAGCTATTTGCCACTAGTACTAATGCCCTTGTTACTAGTAGCGATGCCCTTGTTAGTGCGATGTCCAAGGTCCAGTAGCGCCAGCCAAGCAACAGTGTGCCAGTCGCTTACGATCATCCAGCACCTCCTTGTTGCTGGCTCTGCTCAGCCTAGGGACGCAAACACCAATAAGGAGAGACGCATCTACAAAGCGATGGCCTCCAACCTAATAGTGATGGCCTCCAACCTACTAGCCTTCCAGTCCTGGGCCGCTAAGGCGAGAGCTTGCAGTCCTTCAAAGGTGGCAGTTCAGCCTGGCACGATGCATTCCACGATGAAGTTTGTCACGACGCCAAGCGACATGATGTTCTCGTTTTCTCTGCCTGGCTGCCCAGTTCATCGCAAAAGCGGGCCCACACAGCAAGCTGCTGATGAGCCTGCGCCGAAAGTCAATGATTTCTGATTTCTGCTGCTTCGGCCAGCACTGAAGTCTGCCTTGGTCTTCAAATCCTGAACTTTCTCCCGCCTGGGTTGGCCAAAAGCTGCCCCCCACGTTTTTCGCTCGTCCCTCAAACACTGACTTCAGAAGGCACGGCTCGGGGCACCCGACGCCCTCACCTCCACGGTGACCATGGCACTGGGATTGTCTGACCTCACGAAGATCTGCAGTGGCAGCAAATTATATAATTGGAATTGGAGCCTCTAAACTAGTGACCTGCCAACCAACCCATCCAGAATGCAAAAATACTTGCTAGCGACAAACATTCGGCAAGTTGTGCATGAACCAAGCAACATGAAAGAGAGAGGTACGTACATGTTTCATCATTTTTCAACATGCCAGCTGCCAGCATTATTTGAAGGAGCTTGCCAAGGAGCAGTGCAACCACCCATGGCCGCTGTACATCTGGCACTGCAGCTGATTGCAGCCACGTTTAAGCAACTCCGTTGAGAATCCCTTCAAACCACAAGAATCAACAAGCTATACAGCTTGTAAACGACATGCAGAAACAACGCCTGTCCCAAAGGGCCAAAAGGGAGTGGCTTTTCAGTGGCGAAATCCGCTCGAAGGCAATTGGACCCAACCCGGCCGACCCTACAGGTGATGCTCCAGAGAGGACTGCCTGCGCAACACAAAGGGCGGAAAATGGTCACGTGAAGGGTTCTTTGGATGGCCCCACTCATTTCTACCGAGGTCATACTGGTGAGTTCCATCCCCTGGCCGTGTCAAAGTGTAGTCGATCCATTCCAGTTGCTCGGAGAAATGTCCCTCCTTGGAGTGAGCAATCTTCAAGACCAGGTTATACTCCCCGTTCTCGCTGCAGTACTTGAGCTTGACCTCATCCGGGTGGTATTCATAGGATGCCACGAACAACTTCTTTTCCAACGGCGATTTTTGCTCCTTGGCCTTGGCCCTGGACTTGGGACATGTACTCATGAGCAGGGGCAGTGCCACATCTATGGGTGCGGCATCTTGCAAGAGCAACGCACGCAACTCGCCCTCCTCATTGGGAGGGAACAATCGCAAATAGCGACGGTAGGTAACCAAAACACAACCTTCCTTGTATGTCAATGATGAGCCAGGCCGGACTTTGTGCAAATATTGGCAATGACCCACATAGACTCCATCCCATCTTGGCCGATAAAGTCGCAAATATTGCTCCCTCCAATTCTTCTCCAAACAAAGCAAGGACCAGAATTGGCAGAGTTGTCGGAGCCGGGGCTTCCAAATGTCCACCACCAGAGTTGCAGGTCGTAGCTCACGGCAAACCCATGAGACCTGGTTACTCACAGTTTGTCGTCAGAAGTCACTGTCACCTACTGAACCTATAAACAACAGAAGAAGCAAATGCATGTATACAATGCATTACAAAGTGGTGTCTGCAAGTAAGTAGGGGGGAATGATCTGCCCAGAAACGATGCAGCCCAAGCAACGCGTGTCACAACATAAGTGTCGCAGAAGAATAGGCCATCTTTCGCCCAAGCCAACAACGGATTCTCGCAATGTTCCATGAGCAAGGCTTGGGCATGAAAAAACTGGGGCGAATCGAATTTGCTTCGAAGGTTTCGTGTAGAGGTGCTGTGTGATTCTTGGGCGGCCGTGAATGTTGGAGAAAGGTTACCGATTTCACTTCAAGCTTGTTCAATGGATAGAAGTTCAATCCACAGGTGTGCTGCTGTTAGGCTTTCCCCGAAGATGCCTAGAGCACAAAACCGAGAAAGGCGTGCATGGTCACTTCCACCGACTCAGGACATATATAGATGATATTAAATGATTGAATTGGATAATAAATGAAAGAATATGAAAGAGAAGGGGGAGAGAGAGAGAGGGAGATACAAAACATATCTTCAATCTTGCAGTCCCTTTTCAATGATGCATCCTAGTAGCTGTGAAATCACGAGGTTGAGCTGCGGGTTTGGTGCTTGTCCACCATTTTCTTCCTGGCAAATGTGGGATCAGCAGCCCAACACACCCTAGTCGCCCAAGCCTCCTCTTCCGCATCCTCATTGCAAGGTTCAACGGGAGCGACCTGAAAGCAGGTCGTTCCTTGGGCTTGAAAGACCTGAAAGCCTCCCCTACCTGTGCCACACAGGACGGTTGTCACCTTTGTTTGATCATTCTACTTTTCTGAAATCGCAGGGCCTGAGAAGAGACCTTCTGCAGCTGCGAAAAACCCTGGCCCACTGCATCAGTGCTCTTTATCTTTTCACTTTGGACGAAAGACATATAATTGATAAATATGTGGGATGAGGTGACTCCTTACTGAGCAGGTCCCCGCACAGCCCACTAAAGCACTGAGGCTCATACCTGCTCAATGGTCCTGACCCGATCATCAAGTTGCACCAAGACCTGGGCTTTGATGGCCTCCGACCTAGTAGCCATGGCCTCCAACCTACGAGTCCCGTTGGAATCCCGAACAAATCCTTGTCCCCAAGCTCCATCACGTCTCAAGCTGAGAGTTGTGCGGATTCTGTAAGCCGCGCAAGCTGCAGCTGGAGCACCTCCAAGGCTCTGGTCAAACCAAAGGTGTCCAAAAACCTTATGCCGGGGCTCCTCATGTGGCAGATAAACCGGCGCCTCTTTATCCTCTTTTTTGAATCCAACAAGCATGTGGATTACTGGAACCAGTGAGACCTGACAATGAAAGGCTCCAAGAGGCACAGGGCCGCCGAGCAAGATTCAGGCCGCTCAATCCGTGTCCAACGCCGCCGCTCAGTTGTCAATCTCGTGGACCTACCAACATCTCCCAAATCCCAAGCGACTCTTACAGTGCATTCTGACATTCAGAGGCTTGTGGTCTGCTGTGCTTCGCGTGGGGCGTGTCCCTCATGAAGGCACTCTGAATCAAGACACCAATCTTTCGGAGCTGCGCCTGGGAGTGGACCTCCATGGCATCCGGGATGCCCACAACCTTGGTTAAATTGAGCAGTGTCTTAGTTTCAACCATGGTCGACTGTGCCATCATGCCATCCCTGAGTTTGTCAAACACACACTTTCGACGTATTGAAGCCCAAGGTGCTGGTCAATTGCCAGGCTTGCTTGAACGGGATGATTCGCTGACACTCTCATGACACTGCCAAACAGCTGAAGCTTAGTCCATCTCGGTGTGCTTGGACGGGCTTCTGAAGGTCTCTCCACCAAAGCATCGTTTTTACATACTTCTTAAGCTTCTGATTGCCAATGAGTTCATTGCCTCTTGCAGCGGCAATCCTCAGTTCATGTTGTAAATACTACAGGCGGTCTCTGCACACCGAACTTGGGGGGGATGACAATTGACGCCACTAAGACCTAGTCCACTGCGAAAGTGAGCAACACCTTCATAGAGGCCAATCACCTCAGCTGAGCTGAGCAAACACACACACAAACAAACCCCAAACACACAACCGAGTTTAAATGATGCCAGATTTCCATTCTTTGCTTTTGGCATGTTGCCGAGTTGTAGGTCGTAATGTCAGGTGAGATGTCTTTGCTCTCCAGATCACCTGAGACGGTCTGAGACGAGGAGACTGGAAAAAGGATGAAAAACGAGCGGCCTTTGGTCAACTTTGTCTCCAAAGCTTCTCATTTTCTTGGTGCAGCTGCGTTGCTAAAAGCTTCCACACCATGCTGCCAGAGTCCTACGAATTGTTTTGAGGCAAGGTTGAGGTCTAAAGATGTTGGAAGAGTGCTCACCAAGTCCACATGTCCTGCAACCTGAAGACTTGCAAGCAGGGCGTTGTAGGCCACATCGCTTGGCTGCCTACAGTAGATAGATTGACAGCTTCGATATCTTCGTTGCCAGTTAGTTTGTTTGCTTAAGGCAAGTCATGTGGCCAAGTTGCAAAGCTGCAATGAGCAAGCACTGCAGTAGCATTAAAGCCTCAACCCACAGGCCCCCGAGTGCTCGGCTCGACGCAAAGTCCCACTTGGAAGGTTCACACGTATCATTGATATCATGCTCGTGAGCTGCGACACTGGCCAACACTGAGGGCAAAGCAGGGCGCCAGCGACCATTCTCACAGGCTTTGATCGACACGTTGCAGGTGATTTCACTGAATGACGCATCGACACCTACGCGTTAAGCTGCTTTCGACACCTACGCATTAAACTGCTTGCCCTTGACACTGCACCGACCACTGCATTCCAACCCGATTGCACAAACCACCAGCCTCTCATAAAACGCAGAACGCCCAACGCACGCTGCCATTCCAAGGCCTTCCTTGAAACAACAAACCAACAAGAATCAACATGCTTCTTGGGAATCAGAGTGACTTAACAATTAACCCTCATTCGTCATTCTAAGCCAACAGCGCCACACGCTCTCTCCTTGCTCACCAAGTTTCTGGCATGCGCCGAGAGCGGCGTTGCAGCCGACATTCTGCAAGGTGAGGGGTGCTGATGCCATGTGTTGCAGCAGGGCAAAACTGCGAGGCCAGTGCAAGACGGTCTCGCAGGCACTGATCACCTGAGCAAGGGCCCGGTCGGTTGGGGCTGGGAAGTGGAGCTAGCTGCACTTATGCATCCAAGTATTGTCAGGTGGCAGCATTGAACGTGATGCTGGTGCATTTGGCTGCGAGGCCGGCAATTCCTGTGATGTCATGGGACTCATATCGGCTCTAAGTGTTTGAAATAACATTCCTCTTTGTTTCATCCACTCACTCGTCACTGGTCACTTATCCACTGTCACTCATTGAAGCTCCCAAGTGATCAAGGATCCTCCAAGCAGCACAAGGCTCACATCCCACAACCCGCTACGTTTCTCACATGCGCTGATTGCGGCATTGCTACCTCAACAAAACACCCAAACGTGTTGCTCCAGCTCCATCTTCTGGGTGTTGAGATGTGTTGAGTGTGATCGGTTTCAAGCCGACCCTTGGCACTACAACCTTTGCCCAGGTGCTAACCTCATCGGGGGCCGCCCTCCTGCCCCGCATGCCGTCGAGCAAATGAGAAGCAGGTTGCCAAAGTCCAATCCGGGCGAAAGCAGACAGGACCGCGTTGTGGCATACCTGTGGAACTCATGTTGTCATATGTTTTCACCAGTTCTCGGCTGTGTGATGATTGATATCTACTACATGTTGTCACAGGTCATGAGTGGCCTTCTGTGGCATCATCTCCCTCTGTGGCATCCTGGCCAAATCGCAACACCCCATATCCAGGTCCATGGGTGACTCGCTGTTGAAGAAAGGGGCCATGTTGGATTCTTGATCTCAAACATTTGGTTTTCCCGAATTAGCCAAACTCACACAGGCTATCACTCGCAAGCAGTATATACAGACTCTTGACTCTTCACTAGTCCTGTGCAAGAGCTGCAGTGCTGGTTGCCACTTGCAGCCTCTCTCACAGGCGCTGAGGGCAGCCCCATAGCTGATCTCAGATTCGGCCTCTGGCCTGGTCCGCGACCCCTGAATTTCTCGAGTCAAGTGACCCCCAAATCCCAGAAATTCTATGAAATTCTTGGATGGGTTAGGTTGTTGAGTTACTTGAGTCACTTGGTCGTCTCTCCAAGTCCGGGCCTTTGAAGCCGCTCAAGTGCTTGATGCCAGGCAGTTGCTTTCGAACAGGAGCTGATGGATGTGCTAAATGTCACGCGGCTGGGTCCTTGTGCTGAGGCATTCGGCTCAAAGCAACTGCAGGATGTGTCCAAAAGGCAAGCCATGTCAAGTAGATATTAGCCCAGAGTCGTAGGCCGGCCACTTGCAACCCATCCACTGCAAGACTCCAAATGCTCTCACTCCTGTGGCATGCCCCCAAGTCTCTGCCGCAAATGTGCAAACTCTGTGCTGATCCAAAAAACTGCATCCTAGGCTCTCCAAAGTGCTGATGAAGGTGTTGAAACTTACGATGTCCTCTTGCAAACCTGACGATTCCATTCCTGATTTCTCAGCAGTAGAAGGAGAGCTGAACAGACCAGGTCAACACCAATGGACTCAAGTTTCCATGCGAGAGTGCTTCTGGAGCAAACTTAGCAGCCCAGACTCCAAGGATCAGCGCACAGGCCTGCAACCAGGCCAAGGCTTTCTGGCAAGCACTGGCAATGGTATTTTTACCTGAGGCACAGCAGGAACCACTCCAAGCACACAGTTGGTGTGCAGCACCCAAACTTGCCACGTCACCGCAAGTGTCCACTGTGGCGCAGGCTGATGTCTCTAGGGCATGCTGCCACTTCCCAGCGAATTGGACAGCTGCCAGTCTTGCATTTTGGCTGATCCTGAGCACTGCTCGCGCTCCTTGCTCTTTCCAATTCCAAAAGAAAATCAAACCACCCAAACATTTGCCAGCTGCTCGCTCGCGCTCTCTCTCTCTCTCTCTCTCTTGCTCTCTCTCTCTCTCTATCTCTCTCTCTCTCTCAGGAAGAAGACTTTCAGCCGAAAATCTGGTCTGATTGCACGTGCAAGAGGCACATTGTCTCAAAAATGGTGAGTGCTGCATTCCAACCTCCAAGCTCGCAGCACGAGGACAGTGTGCTGAAGATCTTCGGGTTGCCAGGCCACTTCTCAATCCTCTTGCCTGGAGCTACGCCCACCCAAAGCTCCACGACAAACACAGGAAGGTCTCTTGTGAATCGCTGGTGCCGACATGTAATTCATGTGAGTGAAAGGCGCCGCCACAAGGCCCGGGGTGGAGGCCATCGCTGGAACCAAACAAGAAGAAACCGAACGAAGGTCCAAAAAGGAGCACCGCCTCCACTCACACCCACACGAAAATCAAGCAAGCTCGACAACCCATCATTTCCTGCACCGGCAGCGTGTTTCCCTTCCATGAGCGAGTTGCGACCATACATGGACAAAGCCAGCTGCCACGAACCAGTCCTCCTGCACGCACACAGCGCAGTGTTTATGCTGATCTCATCTGCGGTCAGCCTCAGTTTTGTGGTTTGACGCGGCCCAAAAAAACAAGATGGAACCCGCGAACCCGAATGCAAAGACGTTCAAAAAGCTACATATGTCCAAATGACACTCTTGTAGGACACTCTTGTGGGACACTCCTGTGGGACACTCATTTGGGACCCTCTTGTGGGACACCCTTGTGGGACACTCTTGCAGGACACTCTTGTGGGACACTCTTGCAGGACACTCTTGTGGGACACTCTTGTGGGACACTCTTGTGGGACACTCTTGTGGGACACTCTTGTGGGACACTCTTGTAGGAAACTCTTGTAGGACACTCTTGTGGGACACTCTTGTAGGGCACTCTTGTGAGGCACTCTTGTGGGACACTCTTGTAGGAAACTCTTGTGGGACACTCTTGCGGGACACTCCTGTAGGACACTCTTGTGGGATACTCTTGTGGGACACTCTTGTGGGACACACTCTTGTGGGACACTGTTGCGGGACACCTCACGATTCCCTGCGCCTGCCACGAAAATCCCACTTCCACACCTCAAAGCCCGCACAAAGTCCTGCGCCTGCCACGAAAAGTAACAATGTCATCTCATGTGAGCTTCAACAAAATTTGCACCACACCACACGTTTGGAATGATTTCGACCCCTTCTGAGCACACTCCCATCCACCAAAATCGGCATTTCAGCTGAGACCTGTCACGAAAACAGAGCTTCGATGCCACACCCTATCCCAATGGCACGGCCACATCCAACACCCCAAAAACACGACTCTCCAAACGCTAATCCCAATGGAACTGCGCAGCAATCTGCAGATCTCACCAAACGCTGCGCCTGTGCAGCGAAACGCATCACGTTGCTTGCGCGACATGTCTTTTTCAATGTAATAGCGGCGCAAACTGACACGTGACACATCCATGAATATATGAATAGTCACTTGCAAAAGCTTCCCCCAATGGCAGCGCCTTAGCGCTCTACCGCGAACGGTTGCGAACGGTTGCGGACCGTTGCGGACGTAGAAACAACGGATCGCGAACAAGGCTCTACCCCCAGACCCCCAAGAGTTAAACGAGAACCCTTCGCTACGCATTCGGGAAGAACTGCTGCATGTGAGCCATTGACACAAAGCTGCTGTTGCAAAGCATGGATTGGGTGCCGTGTCAACGGTTGTCTAAGTCTAAGGTGGCAGCCCTTCAGCTTTGAGACCCACGAGCAGCTGCAGTGTTGTTGCCCATGCGCTGGCGTGCTCGCTGGCCGCCATGGCGCCATTCCAGCAAACCTCTTCGCCATGTCACAGGGAGAGTGAGAACCCTTGGAAGATGATTCCAGTCCTACATCTATGTGAGATGTAGGCACATCGGACAAGCTGAAAGGGTTCTCAGACTCCCACCAGGTTTGGCTGCATCCGCATGTCCTTCATTTCTTTGAGCACCTCCAGGCCGTGTTGCCAAAGACCAGACCTGGAGCGTTCGGACGCTACGACGGGTTCCTGGCCTTACTACTAGGCCAACGGAGAGTCCAACGCACCAGACCTGATCCCTCGCATCGCATTCGATGGCCTCTTGTCATGGGCTCGTTTCCAGTCCATGCAAAAACAGTTTTCCCGACCTGTCGCAAGCACTCATTGCTGTGCTGAAGTGAAAGGCGTTCACCTCCACAGTTGCATCGCTCAGGGCGGCCTTAGCTTGTCAAACTGTTGGCCTAACTGGTCCGAAGACGATGGCCTACAAAACGGTTTCCCTGGTCCATCTGAGAAGGATCTCTTAGAATAAGAATCCAAAGTTGAGAAAAACCGCTTTCGATCTTCTCCAAATCTATCCACAAAGCACTCACAGCGCCCGCTTGATCTGCTGAATATCGTTCAGTCCACTATGCACATCATGCTGATCAACGTTTCTCCAGAACAAGCTTCCAGGATCTCCTGCGCTTCGCTGGCCAGCACGGCCTTGGCAGAGCACGGAAAAATGTGACAAAATGCCCAAAGATGATCAACCTGCAAAAGCACCCATAGGAACACATGAACAAATGTACATCAAACGCATTGGACTTTCGACTCCGTCTGCGCTCCTTTTTGTCGGCTCAAATGAAGGAGCCGCAGCGGCCTCTCCGCAACAAAGGGGCCCCCAACACCAACTGGACAGTGGGATCCTCAGGTCAAAGAGCTTCGGAGCGGTTTCATTGGCGACGTGGAATTGATCTATGACACAGCTGGGCGCCAGGCCCCAACACTGGCAAACATGAGCTCGACCACTTTGCCACCTGAACCCTCCCAGCTGCCAGGAGAACCGAGCTCAAGGCAATAGCCTCAACAGGTTGACGGACAAAGACTTTGCAAAATCGAAAGAACTTGAACAAATTACGTCAAGTGACCCTCTTTCCCGCCGATGTCCAGGCAAACCCCTTGGCCTTGGCTCATTCAAGCGGAAATATTGGATGCATCTTCAACTTGGCCAGGTGCTGCTGACCAAGATGCAACTCTCGCAGGAGTTCGCTGGGATGACAAAGCGATCCATGCATTTCAAACCATTTTCAGAGGCGCAGCATTCTTGCCAACGGCCCTGTCAACTCTAAAAACACAGGCCCCGTGTCGCCCTTACAGCTGCATGACATGACATGCCCAGCCTGTGAAGCCTTTATGGGGCGATGTACCCAGATCCGCTCGGAACAGCTCCCCAAGTCTGAGACCTCTTCGGCATTGATCACCTCCAAACCCAATTCAGCATCAACTCAAAAAGCCTTCAGTTTAGCCCAAAGAAGTTGGTTGAAATCGGGTGACATGATTGCCTTGGAGGCGATGTTTGTGCACTCCTGCCGTAGTTCCTGTGCCTGAGTTGAGGGCGGGCTTCAAACGGCTTGGAATTTTAATCCACTCACCCTCGAATCATCTCAGATTGGCCTCCTCCCCCGTGGGAAATTTGAGCTTGCCAAGGAAGTCGGCAGAATCATGGGAAAATGATCCTGGCAACTTTCACCCACAAAATGTCCAGTCAGTGGCAAACTGAATCCTAAATTACAACAAATCGGCGAATCAAAGTGAAGGTGATATCCGTCCTTGCGGCTGAAATGGAGAAGGGGGTAAGCGATGAAGGCTCTGCTTCAGCAAGCTAAGCTCGTTCAGCGCATCCATGGTCCTTGGCTTAATGCCAGCGTTGATCAACCAAAAGGTCCCTGGGATGCTCAACTACTAGCAGCAAGGACGCTACTAGGAGCAAAGGGCATCGCTACTAGGAGCAAGGACGCTACTAGGAACAAGTGCCTTACTAGTAGTAACAAGAAGCTACTAGGGGCTCCTGGCATCGCTACTAGGAGCAAGGACGCTACCCTTCATGTCGTAAAGGAACGGAAGACCGGACCAACCATATTTTCTGGTCGGTGCTTTCAGCCCAATTGACCAATATTAGTGAGTGGGTTCAGTAGTAGCTTCTTGTTCCTAGTAGCGATGGCCTCCAACCTAATAGCAATGGCCTCCACCTAATAGTGTCCTTGCTACTAGTGGGAAATGCGCAGCTTGGCGCTGTGTTGCCGTGAAGGCTCTCTTTGAGACCTGCCTCCCTCTTCTTCTGGGCAATCTCAGCAGCTTGGCGCCGACACTTGGGAGATGCCTTGCGGTCGGCCACATGGATGCCCTCTGAATGAAGAACCATAAAAAATGGTAAAGCTCGCTCAACCATAATGTGAGTCATGTCGACAAAGGATGCAACAAATAAGACTCATCTCTCATTAAGCCAAAACACTTTCCACAAACAAATGTGGGCAATAGCATAGTAATATACAAGTGCAATCAACATTTTCGCGCAATTTCCGGTTTGGAACCCCCCTCTTAAACCGAGCCTTCCTCGCATTCTTTGGTTTGTTGCTGCTTCTCCGCTGGCCTTTTCTTACCTTTTCTCTTTTCCTTGTCCTTTATGCGTATCCTTTCAGCTCTCTTGCATTTCTTTCTGTTCCCTTGTTTCCTTTCTTCCGGCAAATCCTTTTAACCTATATAAATGACCAGATTCAATCAGTTGCTTTCATTTTGAACCGGCTATTTGAAGAAACACTGGTTTGAAACGTTCGCAACGGGTGCCCCTCATGAGGCACGACCCCCCATGGTTTGTTGCCTTTTGTCGATCATTTTCCCCTGGATGAGGTTAGCATGGGATTAAGCAACGGTGCTGGAACTCAAGAGCTTGTTCCTAGTAGTAAGGCCAGGAGCCCCTAGTAGCGTCCTTGCTCCTAGTAGCGATGTCAGGAGCCCCTAGTAGAGCCCTGATGGATTAATCGACATCTCAGTCCGCAAATGGAACCTAAGCATGGATGGTTTTTTTGATTGAGAGGCCCTCCAGCAGCTTTCTAGACCTTCCGGACTCCGGACCTTCTATGATTCTATGGTGGGCTTATAAATCTGGTGTGGGCATTGTCTCTGCCTATACAAAGAAAACTTTCGTGGATAGTTGTCCTACTTTCGTGGCACCAGCAGGCACGAAGCAAACACGGCTAACAGGCCCAACTAGCAACGCCGATCTACAGCAAACATTTCTTGGTCTGGCCTGCAAGCATGTCCACCCATCCTCCTGCCATGGGGGTGCTTTTTGCAGAATCTCTTTCCACCCTTTCTTGCCGGACTCCACTTCTCCCAAAGCTTTCCTTGCAGCAGTTTGGACAATTTCACACGTAAAGCAATGATCCTTGACAACTCTCCAAACTGGCTCCGCCCAGTCTCCGAAAATTTTGGTAGTATTGTGCTTTCCCGGTCTTCGAGTGGTAACACACCACCTCACATCGATGATCTCCAATGCATTTGTCCTTTGCTTCCTGAAGACCTCGGACGAGGCATCTTGCCAGCACGGCACCAATCACTGCAGAACTGGCGTATTTTCTTGCAACTTAGCCGCTTCCCACCCAATCTGCAGCTTTCCTCTCGTCCAAGTCTTCGTTGTTCCAAGTTGCGACTTGGTCTAGGCTGGTTTTGCCCATGCTTCAGGGGTCCATGAGGCTCGCCATGTTGACGAGAGTAATTATATATCTCCTAAAACCTGGCAATCATCTTCAGCACCATTCTTTGTTGGAGGCTACTGTGTGCACAAATCCTGCGAGACCCTCATAATTGACTTACGCACTGCCAGGCAATGGGCTGAAAATATAAAGCAGCACTTTGGCCAGCTTGAACTTGAACCAAATGGCATTTCAAACAGCGCCCCTCCCAGTAAAAACGAATGAAACATGTGCACAATAATTACATACACAGGCCAAGCGACATGAGGCATTTGCCGAAGCCACGAATTCGTGCGTCGCGGCTGACCCCGAAGCTCCTGGCACAGGTGGAATTTTCTGTGTTCAACTTCGCAAACCAGAAAGGCCATGGCCGTCCTCAACCACAGAAAGGGGAGGTATTGCCATTGCTTGCATCAGAGGAAGTTGGTTTCTGTTTTGGGGAGGCCGTGTGATGCAGGTCGAAAGCTTGCCAATGAACCAAAAACACGAATATAGCTGCATCAAGCATACATCGGATAGAGCACCTTGGAAGTATATATTCCTTCCAGCTGTATATTGAAGTCCAGCTACACCGCGTTGCTTTTGGTTCTGCTGTGGCTGTGAGGCTGGAGCTCAAGATGAGAAGCATCACAGGTAGTCCAAGCAAAAGGCCTGCGTCACATGCTCCAAATGCCCAACACGCTCAGCCAGTGGCTCAAGCAACTTTGCGGCTGCAAGCATGGCGCTATCGGACATGTTGAACAATAATGATCGAGCCCAAGATACCTGGTGGGCGGTGGTTGTCCAAGATATATACCTACGCTTGAACGAAATAGTTCGTGCAAGTTCCGGCGTTGGTAATGAATGCTCCTTCCAAGTCATGTTCTTCCCACCTGACTCACTCCAATTATACTAAATCAGCACACTTTGAGCCACACGCAGTTGGATATGAACATGAACTGTTGGAGCCCTTGCAGCATCAAACTCAGCATCACTAGAGCTTTGGCACTGATCTTTTTGCTCGGCTTTGCCGGCTGGACGCTTCGTCTTTGAACGGTTGTGGCTAAAGCTCAGCAGAGGCCTCCACACCGACAAAGGTTACAAAGCATGATGCCCACAATTGGCAATGCCGCATCTAAATTCACTACTGACATCCGCGTGGCCAACCTCCACAGGCCCAACCTCGGAATGGGGACTTGAATTGACAGGACTATATAAGAGGAATAGATTCCAATGTGCAGGTATTCTGCAGCTGTGAGGCTTTGAGGAGAAGCTTGCCAGTACTTTCCCTTGATTGTAGTTGGCGCAGCGCTTCGGCCTGAGGGCTTGGGCAAAGACTAGAGTGATATTGATGTCAGCTTAGGCATGCTTTGCACAAAGCACTCATATCATATCACAACTCTTTGGCTGAATCTACATTCACTACTGTCAGAAGCTACAGGAAACCAAGACTGCAACACTTATCAAACTGTGAGGCATGCCAGTTTTTGCAAGCCTTGGTGCCCGAGGGCAACACTACACTGGCCAAACAAAAGTTGCGCTTCTTGACCCTCAAACTCATTACAACCCTTACCCCTAGAATCCTACACCGGGAGACCTGGGACTGTGTGGGCAGTCATTTTTCCCCGGGAAGCCTTGTATTTATTACTGTAGATTTAAAACGGTGTGATAATTGACCGTCCCACACCTGCCACAGAAATTGGACTTGGTAATTTGATCCGCAGCCTGCCTGAAGTATGCTGATGCAAAACCCCCATGTTTACCCTTCGCGTCAAGGAACAGCATCTGCCAGTGGGAGCACGGTCATTTGCAGGTTGAGCTGTTCGGCCTCCAGAACCATCATCAGCGGGGGTGACTTCAGAGTCACAAGACTTGCCCAGAAACCAAACTTGATTGAAGCAAGTTCCATTCATGGACCCTAAAATGGATATCGGTAGGGGACACTCACAAGGCCTTCTTTTTGCCGTCACTCGGTCTCTTAGAACCATCAACTGCATCCACAACGCAAAATATAAGTAGGGCTAGACGGGTAGCTAGACAAGCCTTGTGATGGGATCAATGCGGCCCAGAATGCCAAACGAAGGTTGCGATCAAAACCTTCCAGAATCACGTGATTCCAGGGTTCCAAGATTTTCCAAGGCGGCTGCAGAGCGAAACCTGCCAAGTACGTAATATAGCTTTCCAATACGAAACTTGGTGAAGGTCCCAAAAGGTTCCAAGATTGAGTCACTGGATTCCAGGCAAAGAAAACTTGCGATCAGAAGAGCTAGTTTTATAGGTGGTCACAGGGATTGCGGTCGTTTTCAAGCGACCAGTTGTGGTCAACGAGAAGTCTTTTTCAGAGCTCCGATGCAGTGGACCGCGGTCATTCTAATTAGACCGTGTCCCACTGACCTTTGAGATGTCGGTTCGTTCTTGAGTGGCAAGCCATGTCAATTTTGCCATATTTCATAAATGAATCTGGAGAATTTACTGTTTACTGGAGAATGGCGCTCCTGGTGCAAGACTGGGACATAAATTTACGTTCAGTTTAAAATTGACGGGTGCTGCACAAACAGTCTTTGGGTCTTCAATCCAGATTTACATGTCATGAGTCATGAGTACATTAGTATGTGGGCTGTGTGCTGACATTGCGAATCATTCCGGCGCTTGCGAGAGGACAGTCGAAAGGACTGGATGTTCTAGCTGTACGAACTCAGGAGTTGAGTCAGGAGATGTTCACCATGAACATTGCTGTATCTCATGCAAACCGTCACGCACGACTGTTGTCGAGGGTCCTGTGATAGGGGCGTAAGATATCCTTCACACACCTCCGTCCATGCAGGAATGTCCTCCCAGTCTTTGGCTCTGCTGCAGGCGCCTGCAGCCAGTCCATGATAGCAGCTGCCCGTGTTCTCAACTCTGACTCCTAAGCATCAGAAAATCAAAAGCAACGCATTCAGATTGAGTCAACCTGTCCCAAACCCCAAACTCTGAGGTCCTCAGCTATGAAGTCGAAAAGGCTTGGTCTCACAAGGAACTTGGAGCCTGCCAACACCTGAGCAGTTCAAATTACTGAGGATAAGGGAGGCAAGGAGCCTTTGAGACTCGCACTGACAGATCCACACTCGGTGGAAAGCCGCTGGAAGCCCCAAAAAGAACCATACCCCCGCGAGGGCGCAGGCAGCGAAAGCCTAGAGACAAAGCGGAAACTCCATGCTGCGCCATGCGACAAAAGAGTGACACAGCGTTACAACTTTCAAACGAAAGGGAAGCAAGGAGACAGGAACGAACTACATAAAAAAGGCATACATAGGAACATGAAAGAAAGAAAGGAAGCGAGATAAGTCATGCGGTTTGTTCCTATGTGTGCTTTGTTTCATTCTCTCGTTCCTCTTGTTTCTTTAAAATTACATTCTTGTCACAGCCCGACTCCGTCGCATTCGCTCGACTCTTGCGGTGCGCGGCGTCCTTGCAAAAAGGTCCGGTTCCCAACACCATCGAAAATTGCAGCAACTCCACGGTTCTGAGTATGCTGGAGTACCTCAATTCAGTATGTATGAGATCACATCGCTCAAGCAAAAAGGACAATTAATCCCAAGTAGAGTAAAGTAGAACAGAAGTGCAACCGAAGTAACTTCTGTGGCAAAGTCACTGTAGTCACTCACAATGACCTTGTCGGCCCCTGTCCAAGACACAGATTTAAAACTTACAACCTGGCGGCAAACTGGACCGCCCTGGCATCACTTGGACTTTGAGTGGAAGCTGCTCCTGCAGCAGTTGCGACAGCTGCCTTTGCCTGGAACACCATCAGCAACCCTCCCCTAAACAGATAAAAGCAGCTCACGTGGGTCTTGAAGAGTTCTTCTTCAAATTCGACTAGTGACAAGTGCATCGCCACTACGTAGTAGCAAAAAGCTACAGTACTAGTAACAAGGATGCAGCGAAATGTCACGCACGTCTCCCTGGCACCTTTGTGGAGACCGTTGCGATGACTTTCAAACCACGAAGCTTTGCAACCTGAGGCAGCACCCACATTGTGCTGTAGTGGGCGAGGACAACAATCCCAGCTGGCCTGCACTATTAACCGCCCAGTGCCACCTGCTGCGGCATGAACCAACACCTGGCGTGCACGTGTTGGAGACCGCAGGTCAGAAAAACACGTTTTCAAGTGTTGAATTAAGTAAACATTCGGATAATCACTTGTAGGCACCGTGTCATTGCGCTCCAGGCGCACGGTGCCATCCAACAGGTATTGCGCCGTCAGGCCCTGTAGCATCACCGCTGCTGCATCTTGAAGCTGAACGTCATTTCCTCCGAGTCTTTGGTTGAAGGAGGTGACCATGCAAAGCGAAACATGCTTGTAGCATGTGCATTCTTGGCGAGGTCTTCCCATCATCGTCCTAGTGGCACCAACCGCGTGACCGGGACCACTGCGAATTCAGAATAGGCACCTGGAAACAAGGAGGTGCCATAATACAGGGTCCATAAAGGGAAAGAACTGGGGAAGCCAAATGACCAAACTGACGTGTCAGGCTCAGACCGGCCCCTTTGTGCCTCAAGCGAAGACATGTGACGGTCTCCAACCTACTAGCAACGGCCTCCAACCTAAAAGCAATGGCCTCAATGACTGCCTCCAACCTAATAGGAATGGCCTCCAACCTACTAGCTATGGCCCCCAGAATTCTCAACTGCCAAGGCACACGAAGGCCACACGGCGTCCAAGCCAAACTTCGGCCCCAGGACCTGTACTTTCAACCACTCCAGCACCTGCCAAGAAAACCAAGTAAAACCCACCAAGACTAGGATGCGTTGGGGATGTGTTCCGATGTTCGTGGCCTTCAAGTCCGGGTATGTAAGGAGGGGACGACCTGAGATTCTTCAGGATGTAGGTTGTTCCAATTGTGCCAAGTGGCACAATGCACCGAGCTCCAAGCGAGTAGGCCCCCTGAGCAATGAGAACGGAAGGAACTGAATGCTTCAACTGCCCCAAGCATGCTCTGGGAAACTGGAAGGCCTCACGCAAGTAGATGTCAATGAAGTTCACACCGGCAAAGGCAATCCGCACTCGAGCTTCGCCAGGTCCAGGTTTTGGCAGAGGCTGCTTCACAACCTCTCTTTAAAATGAACTTCAGCACAACCAAATGCAAGAAGCACACACAAAAGTATATCCACCCACACACAAAGACACTGCTCGAGGTATTATGCGTTTGGTCTGAACGCCACTTGCCGTGAAGCTGCCTAAGTAATCCAGAAGGCCTAAATGAACAGGTGGTATGCAGCAACGTGGTCAAAAATCTCGAAAAAGCACCAAGGAGTTCCCAAGTCTCCAAAGCTTCAAAGTCGACCAAAGAAAGTGAAAGGGAACGATGACGAGTACACATCTGCAGACCTAAAAGCTACCTCAACAGCCTGGGAGTTATCAGCATCCATAAAACCGAGCAGGTACGTAACGGTGATCAGCCTCTGCATGTACTGTTGGACCATCCCTCACAGCACACGGATGGTCCCTGCTAAAATGCAAAAGGGCCCGCAGCTATACACAAACATACCTAGCCTATATTTATAGCTCTATGTACACAACGTGCCTCGATTCAAAAGCAACAACCAAATATCCCGCCTCTACGGCATCTGTTCCACCATGCTGGCGAACTATACCAGCAAGCATTTCAGAAGCCTCTGGCATAGCCAGAAACAGGGAAAGCGCCAGGACCACAGTCCTGGACTGCCAAATGCACTCAACGGGAGTAACAAGTGGAACCTTGGGACCAAAACCACCCGTGCCTCATGAATAAACAGCTAGAGCAATGCTCAACTTTGGCTGTCACATGGGCTCTGTTTTCAGCACTTTGGCTGCCAAGCTATCAATTCGAGCGGCTGGGCTGGCAGCATGAGTGGTGCCCCCACGAGGACATAGAAACAGGATCGAATTGTGCATTCATGTTGGAGGCCATCGCTGTAGGTTGGAGGCCATTTCTAGTAGATTGATTGGTTCATTCATGTTCATTGCCACGAGCCATCCCAACATTCGTTGCATGCTGGCGGCATGCTGGCAAGCAATGGTCAACACCTTTAGCATCAGCGAAATTGACATGACAACTTGATTGCATCCAACTCTTCCTCAAGCACTCTATTAGCTTGAAAAAGCAACTGCCAACAGCGGGATGGGCTCATTCCCATGTTCATCTTCATGTGCCATTTCAAGAATGGCACAATCCGCATCTACTATCTAATGTCTTGTCATCATAGCCATGGCAAGCA